AAAATATGGATTATTGTGATGAATTTGGGCATTATGACTCTTGTTTTATCAATGCAACCCTAATTGGGGTAATTCTCATGATTATGGTTGGAATAATCAAGGTGCATATAGTGATTCTTCATATTTGTATGCTGATTTCCAACCCAATTTTGTCCAATATGAACCTAATCTATCACGGGAATTAGCTATTGAAAGAGTAGGTAATGGACCTAGACAACCTTGGGAGTTAGCTATTGAAAAGTTAGCTAATGTGACATACAATTGTTTTGATAGGGTTGAAAAAAGAATAAATGAATTAGCTTCTCATTTTGGTAGAATTCAAGACCAATTGCATGTTTTGTATGAAGTTATTTCATATAATGATATGCAAAGTAACCCTAACGTGAATGGCGGGAATGTTGTATGTGAAAGCGGATTGTATTTTGATGAAAATGACGAACCTAATTTGTGTTTCAATGAAAAAATATCTATTTCACATGATAATATCTTTGCAGCTAATTTTGAATCTCGAGAGACGAGCATTAATGACTCATTTTTAATTCCTCTTGAGAAGTATGTTGAAAGTATAGGTTCTAAAAGTATTATTACCCAAGAAATCCTCACAGCATCTCTTTTGACGAGTACTCAAGTGATGCATATTGAAAGTAATATCTATGAATTACTAGAGATTAGTAAGTCACTTCTATCTCTCTTATCATTTGGATATATGGCTCATACAATCAATCCATTTGGATATAACTAGGAATTAATCTAGTAGAGCCCAAAAAATGGATGAAACCATGCATAGAGCTCTCTCTCTCTCTCTCTCAAAAACGAATGAAACTATGCGAGACTTGCCAAATGCATTTTGCCTCAATCTGTCGCTCCTTAGGGATCAATCAGTAGTGGTCATTAAGACACATGCTAATGTGTGTGTAGTTAATATCGAAATTATTTTTTACAAAATTTTTTATTGGTTTAGATTACTTTATAATCTAGATAATCGTATGTGAAGATGATAGAAGTTCGAGGATATGCATGGGAGTTGGTGTGAGAAAGTTGTGTTAGCGAGCAATTTCAATGCATAACTATTTGCTAATTGTGCAGCATTTCTTTTTCCTTTTTTAGCTGGAATAAATTGGGATCAATTTGCCCTTATAATTAAAGATAGATTAGGAATTTTAAAAAGATTTATTCTAAGTAATACTGTGCTTATACGAAATAGTGATGTTCTCTTTATATATATTGTATAGGTATCCAAAAATATCTAAATCAAGGATGGGGATGATTCTCAATTTAATATTTTAAAGACGATCAAGTCTATCTAAACAAATTTTAACACTTTTTGGTTAACAATAGAAAACATTTTGATCCACATTGTAAGTTTAGAAATTGTTTTGTAGAACCTGCAAATAGTATTGAAAAAAGTGTGTACAATGTTCATTAGGCCATTTTGAATCTTAACCTTTCTAGAACGGGCATGGAAGGTCCAAGGTGCACTTGCATGGGGAAATCCAAGCATGTCAATTACGGATTGCGGGATCCTACAATCACAATCTAGATTGGTTGTTAATAGTGTGGATGAGTTTGATTTGAAATCTACCGGATGATAGTGATTGTGGGAACAATTTTTAAAGGTATTAAGATTTGTTGTGTTTGACATATTGTTATGTTAGTGTTAGCGTTTGCATATTAATGTGTATTAGTTTCTAAATTGCAATTATGAAAGCCCTATATCCATCAATTACTTGGCAGGCCTAAGGACAGATACAGCCATAGTTCCAGAACCGTTGATTCTGATTTAAAAACTAACAGTTCTGATTCTTCTAAAAAGTGAAATCTAAATCGACTCTTATAGGAACTGTTACGGTTATGGTTCTTGAATTTTTAGTTTCGGTTACGGTTCTGGTTTCTTCAGATTATGATTCAATTCTTTTAGTTATGTTTAAATACTTGTTGTTATAAAATTGATTCTAAGAAAATATGACAATGAATGTAAAATTTTTTTTTTTTGTATTATCATGTCCAAAGAAAAAGAAAAATGATGCAAATTTTATGTAAAAAAAAAAATCTCATTATTGATTAGATTAGATTGGACTTGGATTTAGATTAGTTATCGAGTATAGACTTATTAATGGAATGAGACAATGGATTATTGGGTTTGGATTAGAGATGCTGGTATTAGATGATGACTATTGATATTAAACTCTAAACTAGACAAATAGGTTTAAGTAGGAATAGTTTTTTATTAGACAGTTTGAACAGGTTGTAAATCACCGATTTTGGTTTCGGTTTAAAATTTTGGTGAACCTGAATCTGAACCTGTAGTCAAAATTATGGTTTTAATTCTCTTTTTCAAAATTCGGTTCTAGTTCTAGTTCAACAAACCACCGGGTCGGTTTTGATCTGGTTTTGGTTCAAATATGAGCTGTGGCCACCCCTACCTAAAGATTCTGGAATCAACGTCGATCTTGCAATTATTAAAACTAGTGATCGATGCACACTCAATATGTGTGCTATGATTGAAAAATTATCTTCTAAAAGTAATGCATTCCAAAATCGTAATTGATAAATCATTATACAACTTTTCAAATCGAAAAGATGGATTATTTGTCCATTACCAAGAATAATGAAAAATGCAAAAAATGATGGTCTTCAATGGAGAAGTGGAGAGGTAGGATTACTTCGGAATTGTGAAAGGAGTAACCGACTACTTGGAGATAATAGAAAGTGATTGTGTGTTTAGTTTGAAATTGTGCAAATAACTGATTATATAAAGATAACGGTAATCTATATTAGAAAATTTTTTTACTCTTTTTGGGATGATTTTACCCTTAAGATTGGGCCTATAAATAGAAATTAAAAAAGTGAGACTCTATATTTATACCTCGCAATGATGCTCTCCCTTCTATATTGTGTAGGTGTGGGACGCTTCAAGGCCAGACCCGATGAAGACATTGGTCCAACGTCCAGTTCTGTCCCTGAGTGGCTTGGTGATCCAAAATTCTAATTCCGATCTTATGGCCATAATTGATTTTGACAAGTACAAACTTTTTCGATAATAGAAAGCCAATATTATTAATACACTAACTGAAAATCGTTCAGCACAATTTGCTTGACAAAGATAGCTGCACTAATGACAAAAAATACATCAAATATTTCACAGATGTATCTAATCTGAAAATTCATTAGATTTAATATTGTAACAAAATATAAAAAATTACACTGCGAATCACAAACAATTAGATCCGACTAATTGCATGAACTACTCCATAAATATCTGTATATGCCTATCCAATTGGTTTAAGTTCAAAATTAATGCTAAGATCTGACGAGAAGGTCCAAGAAATTTTAAATCTAATATTGAATAACTCTTAGATATGAGAACAAATTGCAAAAATTTAACAAAACTTCCACTATGATAGCCTAAGAGAAGAAAATTCTCACTAGTAAACACTAGGAGAGAGAAAACTCTCATTAGAATACCCTAGGAGAGACTTTATTAAACGTAAAATAAAAATAACAGAGGGATTGGAAGGAAACCTTGATTTGAGACCAAGATCTCCCTTCTATAAATGAAGAATGGTGGAAAGATGGTTGAGAGTGAAGAAATGGTAGAGAGATCGGGTAGGTAGAAAGTGGAAATACCTTCTTTTTTTTTTTTTCAAAAGACAGCGGTTTACTAAAGTTGACAATTACAAACCAGTTCACTGCAGTTCCAAAAGAACAATCTTTTCGACCTTGGTTTTATTGGATCAAAGCAAGTCAGAAAGGTTGACAACGGTATACAGACAAGTGAAATTCATTCCATGAAACAATTTGATCTATGCACAGCGTCGCTGTCGTAGAGGTTGTAATGCCAAAGGAATCATTATCATACAAACGAGATAATTGTTTTTTCAGCACAACTACATCTCTTTTCACCTGGTAAAGGTAAAAGGTTCCCAATTTTTGTTAATAATTGTTTTTAATCAAACAGATCTACTTTCTGTTCAAATTTTTTATAATTAATATTAGGATTAATTTTATATACATTGTTAGTGTATATACTATCACTATTAAATATATGACAATGTGCAAAATTTGAATTGAAATTCAAAATTTGCTCATGTCATCCATCCAATCGTGATAGTGTATACACTGACAGTGTATATAAAATTTACTCTTAATATTAATATCTGATATACCATATTCTACTAAAAAGATGTATTTGGTATGATACAAATTTAAATTTTGAAAAAATAGAAGAGATTCTTGAACCCTTCATGCTCATGCACATCAAGGCTCTGTAAAAGTAATAACCAAATCCGATCTAATTTTTTACCGGATTAGGGAAAATGAAAAACCCGATTCAGATATAAAAGATACAACTAAAAACATGCAGGATTTCGGGTTGTCACAATTCTAGTTATCGTAAGGTTAATCATTATTAGATTTGTATTGTTAGAATGTTTTTGGGGCCGAATCCACTTTGAATTTGATAAACTCAATAAAAATGCTTGATGCAGTATAATCAGGTCAAATAAACCCATTTGGAATAAATATTCAGCAATCAAGTTCAGAAAAAAAATCTCAATATTATGTTTGCCTAGAAATAAAACAAAAGTTTCATTTTCATTATGGTCTTAATGACACTTACAAAAATACGTTGATGTCGTTGGCCATAATTGATTTTGACAAATACAAACTAGTTCACCACGCTTCCAAAAGAACAATTTTCCACAATTTGATTATTGAAGCATTAACACGCAGCTTTATTTTGACCATTATACTTAAACCCAAATTCCAATCAGAATTGCTCATTTTTAAGGCCATTGTTCATCTATAAAATTGCTCTACTGTTAAGTTTATTTTGATGAAAACGCGAACTAAAACAAAATTCCAAGATATCACTCCAAAACCTAACTTAAATGGTCAAAAATAAATTCACAAGCAAGTACTGATATGGTAAAGACTATAAACTATCCAAAAAAAAAGGTATTTCTGCTAAGTTTGAGGGTAGCTCTTAAGCGTTGTGATGATGATGACTGTAATGACTGGATATACATTCCAGACAAAGAAGATGAACAGATGGTGATGTATAGGTTTTGTTATGAATGAATTACTGCACAATATTATCTACCAATTCCACACTTAAACTTACTAAATTCTCATTAATGGCTAGTTTTCGGTCTTTAGGGACACCACTTACTCCCTAATGCCAAACTAAACGCAGAGCCACAGAAAGTGGTGGTGGGGGGGGGGGGTGACAGAGAGCCATAGTTTCTTATTGATCAGCAATTGCATAATTCTCCAGAAAAAATAATTAACCGAAAGCATTGTCCTCAATCACCGACCTCCAGATAGTAGCGATTCTGCAACAGAGGACGAAGCGTGTGAAAATGGCTTGTCCATCGAAGATGGACATGATAAGTTAAAATCACCGAAACCTTCCTGACTTGCAAAAGACAGGCCACTGGCAGAAATCCCAAGTGAGCTTAAATCTGGCAGTGCCAAGGCGCTGTCCAAGTATAGAACAACTTGACGCATGCTTGGCCTTGCTATGGGGTCTGACTGTGAGCACAACAATCCGAGCTTCATGACCAATTCCACCTCCTCTTTCACATAATTAAGTCCCATGTTTGGATCAACTGCTTCAAGAAATTGCCCTTTGTTCCAGCAAGAAAATACCCAATCAACCAAAATGGCGTCCTCTGTTGGGGGGTGTGGTTCTATTGGTCTTCTGCCGCAAACTACCTCAAGCAAAAAGGCGCCAAAGGCATATACGTCCGTTCTGGTTGTAGCCTTGCCAGTTCTAGTATGCTCTGGCGCGAGGTATCCAAATGTTCCAACAACATGAGTTGTTTGAGGGTCTGTTCCACGATTATACAATCTGGCAAGCCCGAAATCTCCTAATCTTCCATTCAATTCACTGTCTAACAGGACGTTGCTGGCCTTTACATCTCTGTGGATCACTATTTGTTCCCATCCTTCATGTAGATAAAACAATCCAGATGCTACACCTCTTATGACTCGAAATCTTTGGCTCCAGTTCAGGGTGTTCTCATGCTGCTCATATAGAAATCTGTCCAGGCTTCCATTTGGCATGTATTCATAAACCAATAGCAGTTCATCTTTCCGCCTGCAGTAACCTAAAAGTGGAACCAAATTTCGATGGCGTAACCGGCCTATGCTGACAATTTCTGCCACAAATTGTTTCATTCCTTGCCTGGAATCATGAGATACCCTCTTGACAGCAACCTCAAGTTTGGAGCTAGGCAGGATGCCATGATATACCTTACCAAAACCCCCGCTTCCTAGTAATCCCTTGTCCCTGAACCCTTTTGTAGCGATATACAAATCTTTGTACTTGAATCTGTGAGGACCATACTCATGCTCCCAATCCTCAAGCACTTCTGCAAACTTCTTCTTAATTCTCACACGATATATTACACCAGAGATTGCAATTGACAGGGAAGCAATCAAAATTATAGGTAAACCAATTGTTAATACTTTGGACCTTTTCTTAGGTCCAACTCGCGGGAGCTTAGGAAGTTGAGAAAGATCAAGCCCTTGAGCCACACCGTTCATCTTGAAACTCCATCCCAGAAGGCAATGGGATGTCGGCACAGAACCGGTAGATGATGAAAATCCAATATACATGATTTCATTTAATACTGGTGAAAGATCATTGGGTAAAGATAAAAGAGGTTTGTTTGGTTTACCAGCATATATTGGAGCTAATGTGACACTTATATGCTTAGCTGTTCCATCGTAGTCGATCCAAACTTGCATTGCTTTACCACTAGCAAGAGTCAAGTTCTGAACAACACCGTTGCCATTGGAATAATAACCTGCAGGAGCTGCTAGTGTGGAGTTCAGCCCGTTGATGTCAATCCCAACGTGGTTATTATTGATATCATTGAACTCTTTGCTTTGGACTGTGTCGAGTTCCACTGCAAAGACATGATTGGTCGGTTTTCCATTGTTTGTTTCATTGAAGAGGCCAAGTTGGTGACTAGGAAGAGCTCCTGGAAGGCCTCTTCTTGGTGCAATCACGAAAGCAATTCCATGGCCGCTCATAGTAGGGTATTCAGACACTATAGCAAAGATGAAGGTGGTGGAAAAGGTGAACGCAGAGGAATTGGCTGAATTCTTGAAGCTGACAGGATTAGGAAAGAAGGCATGACCTTGCTGCTCCTTGGTGTCATCAGTTAGCTTCAAGACGCCATTTGGTGTGAGCTGAGCTAAGCCGTCCAGGCTCAAGTTCGTGGATCGGAATCCATTGTAGGTGATACTAAGGTCCTGGGAAGATGCAAAGCCAGCTAGAGCAGAAACCACAAGTGGTATAAGCTTGATTAGAACCAACATGGCTAGCTGATGGCTGAATGCTCATACTAGCTTGAAAATCCCTCCAAAATTCGATGATGGTTTAAGTAATTTCGTTGCTTGTCATTTGTCAATATGGAATCCGCGGTATTGATGGACTCTAACAAGAGACCTGGACAAGGGATTCTGATTTCCAGGCCTATTGGCCCTTGGAAATATTGGATGGTTACGCTAATGACGAAGCTTGTTTTAATTCTTCCAATCACCATCATGAGTCCATCAGAAAACCATCACTGTCATGTACATCGTAATGTGACTGCATTATCTGCACAAAAGAATTACTCCCCTATGGTGACAAATCTATACAATCTTGAGATCACATTCTGAGAAGCTTTTAGTATCACTTAAATAGTTAAAAGTCAGATTTTTTCATCTAGAACATTAGAAATTTCCAGTGATTCCTGTGTACCTTGATAATACTACCACATGAATGTCCCCAAAATGATGGTTGCCAATGCAGGAGGAACAACCCGTTTGTGGGTACGCGCCTAGATACAATAGGCTTTAAATAGTCAATCAACTCCAGGGGTCCTTCGTCCCCATCTCTGCTGTAGTGAAACTAAACTGTACCATGAAGGGGGGGGGGGGGAGATTCTGTACATAAGATTCCACGACTCTTAAAATCTTTTCGGACCAGATTCCACGACTCCAGTCCAGAGTTAACATGGTGGAAGATTAAAAGAACGGTATTGGCTTTGTACCCTGAACTTGCTTGTGATTCTCACATCGCATGCTAAATTTTAAGTTTAAACACTCTGCACTCTAATATCTCAGACTTATTCCACCTAATTCCAATCGATAACACTGTTAGAGTGGTAAATACACTATGACTCAGTAGAGTGGTTGAGGTATATGTTGTGCATACAATCCTCAATGGATTGAATATGAGAAGTTAAAGCGTAAAGTATCTAAAATTAAAATTTAATGTATAAAATGAGGATAGGGTACAAGTTCGAAGGTCCAAAATGAAATTAGTCCTTATTCATAACCAAAATAATTAACCTCTGTAACTTTGAAAATTACACACAAATATAACACTCCCTCCAAATTTATATCGTTTGAGATTTTAAATAATCGGAAAATTATCTAGCAATAAAATATCTAAAAGAAAGGGATAAAAATATAGAATAATGATACACGTAAAAGAAAAGTCAATGATTGAGAGTGGTTTACAATTCTCACAATCGCAGCTATTGTCATCTTCATAAATTCCTAACCAAAATTTGACTAAATTAATGAATTATAATTAATGTCATTCGAGAATCTTTGAATTCTCTTGAATTATATATAACTTAGCATTCCATGGAAACAGCTGTAACTTGAACTTAGCATTCCAAAGTTTAAATGATTTTCTGTCTGTGCTCTACTTGGAAGAAAGGAAAAGAAAATTCAAAACTGATCAGCGTAACTCCGACTCACTGTATTCTACGTGGAAGAAGGGAAAAGAAAATTCAGAGCTGTTCCTTTCTTTCTAATTTAGCTGTCTGGATTCTGGTTTGTTAGTCTTGAAAGTCTCGTGGTTGAATGGATAAGTTTCTCAGGGAAAAAAAAAAACTGCAAAAACTTTTAGGTATTTAACAACTAAAGATTTTGGTATTTATTGTCATGACGTTGAAAAGTCTGTCATTAATATGAGAGCGCGACATGTCCCAATGACCCTCAAATTATTATAGAATTCAATTCTTGATGCTTTAACGATTAAGAGCTTATCATTGCAGCTCTACTTCTTCTTCAGGAACTCGCCGAAAACCATCGCCTATAACCTTGCCGGAGTTGCCTCTCTCTCTCTCTCTCTCACACACACCAAGATACAATTCATACACTAAAATTGTTACAAAATTACTGCAAAATAACAGGAAAGAAAAAAAAAGACAAAATAAAAATTACCTCCCAAAATTTTTACTAAAATTTTCTTTTTGGTCATTTCTTCAAACAATTTGAGAGCATAAAAAAGATTAGCAGGTCCAAGTTCAATTTGAGTCATGGTTGACCCAAAATTTTCAAAAGATAAAACAAAATGATAAAAGGAAATAAGCATGCTAATCAAGAGCAACGAGAAGCAATTGGCATGTGATTCATATAAACATTTGAAATTATTAAAAGAAAATTTGGGATAGAAGGCAGAAAGACCTTTATAGGGCTATTCTGATAATGGTTCGGCAGATAGTGGTGGATTCCAACGACGACCAGCGGCAACTCTTGCACTTCAGCTCTTCCTTTTCCTCTTGTCCCTTTTTTTTTTTTTTTTTTTTTTTTTGGCCTTTTTTTCTATTTTTTCCTTTCTTGATTTTTCCTTTTTTGAATTTGAATGGAATATAAGAGTTTAAAGCTAAGATTGGAGGACTTCTGGAGGTTGGATTAGATAAAGATTGAAAAGATGAAAATGGTCCATAGATTTTTGTGGCTGAAGTTTAAGGGAAGGTGCAAAATGGAAGCTGAGGTCTCTGGTTTAGGTGATTAAGGCTGTTGATAATGAAGTCATATGACGATGATTCTTAATGATAAGGGCTATAAGCATACGTTTTAATTCGTTTGCAAATAGTTGAAAGGTCAAAAGTTCAACTTCATAATAGTTTTAGAACCACTGGAGCATTTTTGCCCTTAACATGATAATATCTACGCAAATTGATCTTGAGTTGTAGGTTCAACTCCACAAAAGGCAGCTAACAATATATGATCATATTTCAACGAACTTTGTGATATATATTTCATGTTCTAGGCATCACAATCAAATATTCATTAGAGACTGAATGGTGTATCTATATAGTTAGTCAACGCTCAGCATTTTGTTGAAGGCCAAAGTCATATCTTTTGCGAAGAATAAAAAGATGCCAAAGTTTGATAAGTTCAATTACTTCGTAAAACTATTCCAGAAAATTTGGAATGCTTCTCCGAGTTTGCTATTTTTGATAGGAGAGTGGGAAGGTGTCTTAGTAGGTGTAATAGGGATGATATTCGTGCTCCAAATGTTTATCCGATTAAGAAGTTGTTCAAGTGAAATTGGCCCTTTTCAATAATGTTGGTTGCAATAAATGGGATAATGAGACCCGATCATCATTGAAGGCTTTAATTGGTTTAATGACTTGTCAATTGAACAATTGGGTAAGCGATTAAGATGCCATGTATGTGGTTTTATTCTTCCCATTTCTTCATTTGTTGTGAAAACAATAACTTTAATTATACTTGTGTTAAACCAAATCAAGTTGAATTATTAAAAAATTAAAATGTAAATAATAACATAACACTTGACGTAATATTATAGGTGACATTGAATTGATATAAAAAACATGTTACCGAGTATCCCAAATGATAATTTGCAGCTGATTCATATACACCTTAATAACACTGCCAAATGAACGTCCCCACAATGGTGGCTGCCAGTGCTGGAGGAACAACCCGTTTGCGTGCAGCACGTGTCTACAGTAGTCTTCGGATGATCAATCTCGCGTCTTTGACCCCAATTCCTGTGGTCCTTCGTCTCCATTTCTGCTGTCATAAAACTGACCTGTACTATGAAGGGAGGAATTTCTCTACATAGGATTCCACGATTCTTAAATTCCTTCTGTACAATTATCAGGCTCGGAAAGCCACAAGACTCCAGAGTTCACTTGGTGAAATATTAAAAGAACAGCATTATTAATAAGGTAAATTACTTTTTATCCTCGTGTGATTTGAAACTTTATCACATAGTCCCTTTGTAGTTTGAATTAAAGTATGTCAACTAGTTTTTCTATTAAAACTAATGATATATATTAAAAAGTTAAAATCAAACTAATAAATTGTTAGATACAAAACAAAAAAACACTGTTAAAGATTTGGTTCAGAAACCTATAATGATATTTGCAAATGATTAAAGATTTGGTATTTTCTATTTATTATTTATTTATTTTTATTTTCCTTTCTTCTATTTTGTATTTGAAAAAAAAAGCAGCACTTCCACTAATGAAGATGGAGATGAAAATTAAATTAAAGTTCCATGTGAGTTATGCTACTATAGAGATTGCAATGACAATTGAAACTCATGATGGCATTAGAAATTACTACAATTGAAAACTTGGTTTAAGAGAGATAATGTTGACAAAAAAAAATTTAACCAAGTCAATTTTAGTTGTTTTAGAATTAGATTTAATATTTGGTAACTATTTTAGAGTTGGTATCAAAATTAGTTTAGGAAATAGAGTTGAATTGTGTTTAATTATTAGTATTGAAATAGGTTTTATAGTTTTTATGTGTTTATTTAAGGACTTCAAGTCTGACTATTTCTTGTTAAGAAAAATTGGTCCATCGATTAACTAATTGTTGAGCTTCTCCCATATCTTTCTTGCTCCTTCCCCGCGTTCCCATTTCTATTTGACTTATATTCAATTTGTCAAATAGTTTGTTGTGATTATTCAAAGGCTTCGGTTGAATCTTTTGTGATTGATCAATTTGTGTTTTATTCTTATACTTTTCCTTCATTGAGCTATACTAATCAAAGTTCTAGGCTTCACGAGGAAAGACAAACCACGAGATCCATTATCTATATAGTTAGTCAACACTCAACATTTTGTTGAAGGCGAAAGTTATATCTTTTGCGTAAAATAAAAAGATACCATAGCTTAATAAGTTCAATTATTTCGTTTTACACTAAGGATCATAAAACTACAGCCTACTTAAGTCTGTTCAAAGAAAACTCTTATTTTGTAATTCGATAAAATTTGGACCTGTTAACACAAAAAAATTAACCCTGACAATTTTTTGAATTACATGGAATTAAGGTAATACACAAGAGTGCTACCTATAAAAGGACACTCTAAATCACTGACATTCCTAAACGATAGACACAAATATAAAAATTCCTAAAATTAAGGATATGAGTTATCCATTAATTTGTTCTGTCATTTAATCATATGTCCCTTAGTATGGTATTTTCCAATCCACAAGCCACATCGCAAAACCAAAAATGCATGAATTTAGTGTGACAATGCTTCACAAGTTTGCTGTTTTTGACAGGAGGGTGGGAACGGGTCTTAGGAACGTACAATAACTTTTATTGTTCCAATGGCTTGTCAATGGAAAACTTAGAAAAGCGATGAAGATGCCATGCATGTGGTTACTCTGCTTGTTTTTCTATTTGTTGTAGAATTTTCATTATATTCCAGTAAGCAAAGTCTGCCTCGGTCCAAAGACTTTCAGAAACGGTCCAAACTCCTAAGCATAGTTTAGCGATATTTTGAAACTCGAATCATTAATTGAACTGATGAAATGACCGGATTGAAGTTCAACCGATCAAATTGGTTCAATTCCTGTTCGATGATATACACACACATACATGCACATACATACACACACACTTGTACATAGAATAAGATTATCCCATATATCAATTTAAGACATTACTTGGTAAAAAGTTAAATAGTTTTAAATACAAATTTTAAAATTGTAAATTCAAACAAATAAATTCATCTCGATTGTACCTACTAGGAAAAAATCTTAAATCCTACACAAACCACAATCATATTCTGAAATTAAACAAAATGTATTGGAACTTCTGAAATTAACAAAATCTAATAGAACTACAAAAGAAAACAGCAATCATTGAGTTTGAGGGTGAGAAATAGAGAGAATTTGGTTACTTTTTTAGAAATCAGGGTTACGAACAAAAGATTCAACAAATAAGTTTTATATTTAAAACTTTACGTTCATTTTTTAAAAAAAAAAGGAAAAAATGAAAAAATCGTGGTTTATGGGTCAATCCGGGTTGAACGGCGCGACCGATATTTTTTTTGCGATTTTAATTGATTTTTATATAAATCAACACTAGTAGTAAAAAGGGGTAGAGACTTGACCGATTTGCAGTCCGACCTATTGAATCGGCCAGTCTAATCCGATTTTTAAAATATTGGAAAATTTTTGGAGGAACTAAAGATGTCGTCATGTGAACGTACGCCCATTTGGTTTGGCGGAAATCATTAAAAGAAATTTGCAGTAAATTTATTAGCAAGATTTAGTTCCTCGCCCACAAGACGACATTGGAATGGTATTAAACATATTTTTCGCTATCTCCAAGGAACAATAGATCTTGGTTTATTTTATTCAAATAAATTCAAACCTGAATTGGTTGGTTATGCTGATGCTGGGTATTTATCCGACCCGCATAAAACAGGGTCTCAGACTGGTTATTTATTTACATATGGAGGCACAGCCATTTCTTGGCGATCTACAAAGCAATCACTAGCCGCCACTTCATCGAATCATGCTGAAATAATAGCAATTCATGAAGCCAGTCGAGAATGTGTTTGGTTAAAATCAATGACCCACTATATCCAGAAGAATTGTGGGTTATCCTCCGGAAAAGAAAATCCTCCAACTATATTATATGAAGATAATGCAGCTTGTATAGCTCAATTGAAAGGAGGATATATTAAAGGAGATAGGACGAAACATATTTCACCAAAATTCTTTTTTACTCATGATTTGCAAAAGAATAGTGAAATTGATGTGCAACAAATCCGATCAGATAATAATCTGGCCGATTTATTTACCAAGGCATTACCAACTGTGACATTTGAGAAATTGGTGAAGAGTATTGGAATGCAACGATTAAAAGATCTCAAATGACGTTTGCATCAGGGGGAGAAATTATTACACAAGAATAGTGTACTCTTTTTCCTTCACTAGGGTTTTTGGTCCCACTGGGTTTTTCCCTAGTAAGGTTTTAACGAGGCATATTCTTTGTGTAATGGACATCCAAGGGGGAGTGTTATGAAATAACAAAAATGTGGATGTCCCTTTGTATTCCCAAGGGGATTAATTCATGATTTTATGGCTACTTATGTATAGAAGTTACAATTCATAAATCCATTCATGTAGTGGAGAAACCGTTTCATAGGTTTCTTCATATTATTGTAGTAATGGATGTTTAACAAGATTTATGTACCTTTAATCTTGTAGTGCCTATATATAGAGGTACATTGAGACCCTTTGGGAGGATTTTTGTATCTTGTTAAAATATAAGGATATCATTATCCCTTTCTCTACTCCTTTCTCTAATACTTCTTTAATTTCTATTGTAGTATTTCATTTTATTAATTTTATAACACTATTGCGTTTAATTGGCTTGCACCTAGTACACATACCTTGGAAGAAAGGGCAGGAAATGAAAGCAATTCTCCAGTCTCGACTGCTATGTAGTGCGAGTTCGGGGCTTCAACCTAGTCTTGCTTCTAAACACGTTTACCCCAACACCAAGCCAATTTATACGCCCAACCACGTGTTAAAGATGAACTAAGTTTTTTGATACTTGAATTGCGTTTGGTTGTGTGAGAACTCATTTTGATTTTGGTTTGGCAATTAACCAAATCAGACATGAATAATATTTTTTATTGGGTAAAATTTCAAATTCAGTTTGAATTTGGCTCAATTAGCACATGATTTGAAACTTATATCTAAGAAATTCAAATTACATGAATTTGATTCGAGTTTAACTTGATAAAAACTCTTCTAAATTTAGTTTATCAAATAAACAAACCAA